ATAGCTAGTTACTCATTCAGGTATCAATATTATACATATTTTTTTCATAGTTTTCATCTGTGTCACATTAATTCATATTGTTCTTTAGGTTTATTTACGTAGGTTTATTTTTAGTGTAGGTTTTAATTTAATTGCAGTAAGTACGCTGTTTAATTCTGCATCAAAATAAAAAAGAATCACGCAAATCGGATCATAGGTCTTCGCGTAGTCGGTGTACATACATCGGAAAAAAATATACCAATCGAATTGATAGCCTCCTCCTTTTGAAGTCGGTTAAATATTTTGCTACTCAGCGTTCGTGTGAGGTGGTTATCAAACACTAGCTAATTTACGATAAAATATTTGTATATTCCAAAGACGTTGGCGTCTGGTCAGCAAAGGAATGGAATAATAACCTCCAATGAGTGCTAATTATTTTTAACACAAATAAACCTGCCTCTAATTTGATTCTCTAATCTAATCAATGCTTTTAATCATGGTGTATTTAGTAAAAGAAGGAACAGGTAATGGCCAAATGAATGACATTTTCCTCAATTTTTGCACCACGGATATGGGCTATATTATGTATATTGTGTTACGGCTGTGTATTTGTACTTGATTATCAATCTCTACTCTTAATATTGTAATATGAAAGTGATTCTGTAACAAGGATTACATTTATACCGATAAATGGTTATCCCATTAAAATGTGCTTTATACTTTAATTATTACAATATACAATAATTGTTTTACATCAAACTTTTTACTACCGAAGCAGTACAGTTAACTGTCAACGTTAAAATAAATAGTACTGAGAATTATACGTGAAATATTGAACTGTTTGACCTTACATAAGTAATTAATATTCAACGATTACATAACCGACTACTTAGAATTTGTTTCAAACACTATTCCGTTGCCAAAATGTTGCCTTTTCCCGCTCAATGCCATTGTTGGCAAGGATTTCGTTTAAACACGTGTAAAGGCTTTTAAGTTGCAGCGCGAAGGTTGTTTAGAATGAGTTTTCCCGCGAGAAATTTTTTCGGCATCTATTTGCTATGATCCTTTTTTGACCCCAGAAACTTATCTAACTTATTTAGTTCACTGTGACAAGTTTCACGGTTGTTTCTTGTTAATTATCCATTGTTATAAACCGTGCCTCGGATTCGAAAACCGCAAACTATTTATATAATCCGGAAAGCGATCAGATTCTACCAAACAATCTGTGCGGTAAAGTAGAAGGATCTTTTTATTTATTTACTAGCTGCTGCCCGCTTCTACGTCTGCGTAGAATAGGGTGAAGGCGTAACATTCAGACAGAACCACAGATATACATAAAAAATGTACATAAATCATAGCCTATGTCTTATTCTAATGTATAAGCTATGTTACTGTAAAGTTTCATTAAAATCCATTCAGTAGTATTTGCGTGAAAGAGTAACAAACATCCATCCATGCATACAAACATTCGCCTTTATAATATTAGTAAGGATTTATTCTTTACTGAAACACCTTAAAAATGGTTACAAATGGCTTAATACCTATTGGCATTCTCTATCAATCAACTCACGTCCATTTAATACAAGTCAACTATAGTATAATCGTTGGAAGTCGAATGTATTATTTCAAGATCGTGTTTTTGTATCCAGGTGATCTTTATGAATAGATAAACCAGAAAACTATCGTAAGATATTATATTCGAAATCGATAGAGGTTTTTAAGTAAATGGATTAAAATAGGACATCTAATAATTTCACAGTTTGCGGCAAAATTTTATATCGGAGACACAATACAAGATTGAGTGCTGAGCTTAGTGGCTAGAGCAATCCTTGAAACAGCGATGATTTTTTTTACTATTGATCTACACTCTACTATGTTCCAATCTATATAAAACGAGAGGATTGACATCAATAATGAAGAATATATTAAAAACGTGTATCTGGCTTATGAATTACCACTTATTTACAAACTTTTAAGCTAAATGGGCTCGATAAATAAGTGGACAGCATTACCTATCTCAATCGATCTCGTTGCGATCAAAAGAGATAGAAATTGTTTATAAATGCCACTTATTTATATCGAAGATGGATAATTTTATGCGTCATGGGTAGTCATTAAATGAGATAACAGAAGACCTTGAAAAACAGCCCGAAAACGTTCGCAACTTATAATTCACAGATACAAAACTGTCGTTTGCAAGTCTTTATTTAGACTTCTTTTTTTCTATTTCATTAGTATTTTTCATGGAACACAAATTGTTGGATCACTATGCAATTACTTCTAAACGTTGTTTCAAAACCAGTTAAGTTGCCTTCGTTAACTAAACCGAACGGAATAGAAAATCTAAAATTAAAAAAGCGGACAAGTGCAAGTTGGACTCGCGCACGAAGATTCCGTACCCTTATCTATAAAAAAGGCTAAAAAATCATGTCTGTTATACGGGAGCCCCACTTAAATATTTTTTATTCCGTTTTTTAGTATTTGTTAGTAAAGCGGCAACAGACATACACCATCTGTGCACTGTGCAAATTTCAACTGTCTAACTATAACGGTTGATGAGATACCGCCTGGTGACAGATGGACTGACATAGAGACAGCGTAGTCTTAGTAATAGGGTCCCGTTTTACCCTTTGTGTACGGAACCCTAAAAAGAACACCAGCCAATACGAAATCATATGTTTACTCTGTACAAATTACATTTTTAATCTAGGTTAAAAAGCTGCCTTTCTGGATAGGTGAGTTAGGAATAGAATATGAAAAAACATATTTCCTTAATTTTGACTACGTGCTCGTGTCAAGCCAGATGAACAATTTATTCTGTAATCGTGCGAATCTGGGACGATCAAGGTTGTCCGTCATACTTACAATATTATACCTCACAAATTGATAAACTGAGAAGAATTTACAAGACTACCTTGATACCACGCCTAACCCTTTTAATGGTTGGTTGTGAGTGCGTAAAAGTTTATAAGGATACTCGCCCACGTGCGTTCTCACTGTTCTGATCAAGGCTTCTGTATATCGATAACATAGGAGCATTTAAATTATACAAGACTTCGATCGAAGAATCATAGTGTGAGTTTGTGGCCTCAAAGCCGTATGAAAAGTAAGATCTATCAAAATAGCTCAGATATAACAAATATCTGCACAGTAGAAGTTCGGTTCAGAATGTATTTACTCGTACATATCCTTTATAAAATTTAGAGGAGATATGTATGGTTATGGTAAAGACAACCCCATTTGATTCCTTTTTTTAACGTGTTTGAAATAGATCATAAATAAATAGATTAATAATATTTAATTTGGATAACAATTTTAGATTAGCCAGCATCTAATCTTTGTAACAGATGATTTTTTTCATATGAGAACGTGGCAAACGAGCTGGCGAGTCACCTGATGTTAAGTGATAAGCGCCGCCCATTGACATTTTTGTTAGACCCATAGGGTTGCAAATGCGTTGCCACCTTTTAATAAGGTATTCTTAATAAGGTACGTCACTCAGTAGACGAAACGGGAAAGTATTATACTTCTACTTCCCGCCGGTCTTCTATGAGGCCGTGGTACTTACCCGGATGGACCTGCCCATTCGCGCAGCAGCCTCGGCTGTCGTAAAATTTCTTGTAAAGTAACTCGGACGCAGGAGTATGAAATTTCCCACACTTAAAGTTTATGTAGAGAAGGACTGCAGATTTTTTAAAAATTTATCATAAAAGATACATTAAATCGTAAAAGAAACATTACACACACTACCATGTATAATTAATTATGGTCGAATTTCGACCACTGATCGACCACTGGTATTAAATCAACACCAAGTAAGTGCAATACGAATAAGAATATTTTGTTTGCTTCCGGCTTACAAGTACACAATCCAATACATGGTGCATTGACTCGAAAGGCTTCGTAAATACTACGCTCTTGGTGGGTTTCAGTCATTACCTTTTAATACCTCCATTATCTATTTTTAGGCGTAAAGCAGAAAAAATAAAGAGTCAAGAATAATCGCTGCGGCTGACAAGGGGACTGGTTCTTTTCTCGTTATAAGGTTAAACATAACTATCTGTGAGTATCGGACTGTCAGATGAGTTTAGTTAGTATTTAACATTGTGAATATTTCTTGTTCAATAAATATTAGAAAATGAAAAATATTGGGAGTTCGCCAGTTGTTCTGTTGAAATATCTAGAAAAATCGTCGGAAAGTGCATCGTTGTGGCGGGAATCGAACCCACGTCTTCGGTATTACCTTCCCGCAGCGGCGAAGGACAAGGTTTTTGTTATGTCCCATATTAAGAAATGTTCCAAATAATCAATTACATACAGCTAAATAAAATGAAACCAAAATGATTCAGCTATTCGACATGGTTGGATATAATGTAAACAGAAAAACATTAATAAATATTATCTGTCTTTATCCCAGTTAGCCCAAAAATGGTACAAGAATCATAGTTTTTTTAATGTGAGAAGTTAGCAAGCGAGCTGGCGGTTCACCTGATGTTAAGTGATAACCGCCGCCCATGGATATTTGCAACACCCGTAGGGTTGCAGCTGCGTTGCCACCTTTTAATAAAGTGGGCTTCGGTTAACTCGCTCACCAGACGAAACGCTCAATTATAACACTTCCACTTTACTTATACTTACCGGTACTTCCTGCTCATTCCTGCAACAGCGAGGACTGTCGCGTGGCCCTACCATAGTTCAAGCCAGCTCTTTCAAGCACATTAATACAAATGTCCATGAATTGTAACTGTATAATTGAACATACAAAGTTTATTTCTTTATAAAGTTTATTTTTAAACCCGCACATTGCTAAATGCCAAACCACAAATGTTTCGCATAGAATGTGATAACAGGAAAAATTCACAAGTGCATGAACTAACAGTGAGGCAGTCGCCGAGTCGGGTTTAAGGTTCCAATACCAAACTCAACGACAACACGGACGTTCGTGTATCGTTGTATACGAAACATCTTAATTTTATTCATTGAACGGAAACGTTAGCATATTAACGCGAACTAGCCGGTCAAGGCACACATAATTCCCAAGACTTCAGCATCATCTGTCCAAGATGACTAAGCTGAAAAATAATCATCAATTAATTTTAATACCTCTCAGCTGGATAAAGTCTTTGCGCCGAATGTAACAAAGACATATTGAAGTATAAGAAAACGGAAAAACCAGATGCGGTACGTGCCTTTAACAGGAGTTATTGCCTACCCGTGTGTTGTTTTCAACAACAAAAATGTGTTATAGGTACATCGGTGTATCACAATTATCCAATTATCTAAGTACAGCGTGTGTTTACCGTACAACCGTATTGATCCCCACGCCACCCCAATGTAACCCCACTCCACGCACCCAACAAACCTAAACACAAGGTCAACGTCTAATATAATTTAATAACTCATCAATCATACATCCGACAACTTAATTCCACCGATACAAGTTAGGAGTTTATATTATGTACATATATCCTGCGCTATTATTTAGAAAACTATGACGGTCTTCAATCTAAACCTACGTATGGGGTTACTTAAACCGGCCAAGTGCGAGTCGGACTCGCACACGAAGTGTTCCGTACCATTATCTATAAAAACGGCAAATAAATCATGTCTGTTGTATGAGAGCCCCATTTAAATATTTTTTAGTCTGGTTTTAGCGGCAACAGAAATACATCATCTGTGAAGTTTTTAACTGTCTAACTATCACTGTTCATGATACAGCCTGGTCACATGGGACCTCATCGAGAGCTAAATATATTGGCGGTTCATAAACGACGGAGTTCAGTGGTGACATAAAAAATACAACCTAATTGAGAACCTCCTCCTTTATCCAAGTCGGTTGAAACACCATAATATATGTATTCGAATTGTATAAATAGACGTAGAAATATATACTCACGAAATTCCAGTTGGTCAGGAAGAATGGCGCCAAATATTTCAGATCGCTCAAAATCGGATCCATCGCCTGTGTCGCGTCGATCGTGTAGCACATAACGATACCCCACATTCCCACCACGGAAAATAACACACAGTTGAACCCGTGGAACATCGTCCGCAGTACCAGTATCACGGAAAATTTGCCCTTCGCGCTTCCCGCCAAACGTGCGGGATTCGTCGTTTCGGACTCCATCTTGAAAACGGAACGGCAGAGGTTTTGCACATGCAGCCACTGATTATTACGTTTTTTTTTTTTTTTTTTTTTTAATGAATACCTGTCCTCGACGCTGTATTAATTTTGCCGCGTCTTTTGCGTTAACAACGTTATACGTGCACCGGCAACAAGGTGGGCTCGCTGTGTGTTACGCTTCGGATTCGCGGTTTCGAAGTCCGTTCGAGCGCTTCGTTAAACCTTCGCAGAAAGGCCCCAGCTGTGAATTTATTTAATGTGTATTATTTTCTCGTCAATTCGTACAACTAGGAAATGTTTCAGGGTATTTTACATGATTAATAGTATTGAAGTAATTTTTTTTTTCATTTATCATTTATTACGCAATAAGCATTCGGAGATCCAAGGACGGAAGGATGATGTGCTAATTACAGACGCTTTAGTGTCTTGGTGTGGTTTTTATTAAGACTATATTACATTTAGATTTGATGAGTTGATTTTGAAGTCATTGTTAAGACGTCATAGAAATACGTCAATGTAATATGCTAACGATATAATTACGTTATGCGCACGTTTTCGTAAATATCAGTTTAGCCTACCTACTTCTTGATCTTGAGTTAGCTTATTATTTGAATTTAAGAACACATCCGTTTAAAAGTACCCCTAAAATGGATGATTAAGAACTACCTTTACTATAATTCCCTTGTAAATAACGTTCCACATATAGCTTACATAGTAATCGTACTGACACAGTAATATCAAGTAATTAAAGAGAAACCTGTTAACTGCCCTGTTGGCACACACAAATCACCGTATCGCTGACAGACAGAAATATTTTGTTATGGATTAATTTCAGTTAAAAAGTTTTAAAAACGCGCTATGTGTGCATTCCATAAATACAGGTTAAGGAAAAATACTCTTTTAATTTCGATTTTATTATATTTTAAGCAATTCTTTTCCCGTTTGTAGGACGTCTGGAATCGAGTGTAACATGGATTACACTATATCAAGCCACACACATCATCATCGTCAAGTATTTTGTTATTTTAATATCTGTAAGACTGGTGTGATTCGGTGGTGCAGCAGACAAGCTATTTTGTCTTTGGCTACGAGTGGTAGGTTAGAATCCCACGCGGGTTGAGTATTTGTATGACCCACAGATAAATATTCGTTATCTGAGTGTATGTTTCGAAGAGAATAACCTTAACAATATAAAGCCATGATAGCTGTAACCGTGATAGATCAGTGTCCTGGCGCTCACCTTTAATTTAATACGCTCGAGTAACCTGAGCTCGATCCCCGCTGCCGTCACCAATGAAATTGTTGATTTTAAGTGCTGACTTACCATGTACTATGCGGTTAAAGAAAACATCGTAAGGAAACCGGCATATCGCGCCAATCCGCGTGGTGGGCTATGCCCTGATACAAGTTGTAAATACAAGAAATCAAACATTCTTCGCAAATATAAATTGCGTAAAAGCTCGCCTTGCAATGATGAATAATTATTATCTTAATAAAATACTTGCATAATAAATTTCAGCTGGTTTTATGTAACTGTGGTAGGGCCACGCAAGAAGGCGTTAAAAAGAAGTGTTACACTTCTGCGTTTCGTCTGGTGAGTGGGGTAGCCGGGGCCCACTTTATTAAAGAGCAACGTATCTGCAACCCTACGGGTGTTGCATATGTTCATGGGCAGAAGTCAGCACGTTTTTATTAAAATTAAAGTAACTAACTGCTATCCGCAATGAAAACAGCAATGGCGACATCTCTCGTTCGAATTATCGTTGTAAAACGATATTCGAAATTGTTTGTATGCTGGAAAGGATATAGGTATCAATGCATACGCCAAGCATTGCTTCAAATGCTAAAAAAACAGTTAAATAAACGACGTTGAGAATTTCGCCGGAGTGGCAATATGCTAAGTGGCTAAAGCGTCAGGACGCGAATCCCGAAGACGTGGGTACGATTCCCACAGTGGCGAGAAACTTTTCGCTCCCTTTTTTTCTACAAATGCTAATATTTAATCTTCAGTGCAGAGATTAGCACTATAAAAAATACACTTAATTGTTTACGCTCAATTGTATTTTGTACATTTCAATAGGAATTATGAAGATTAATTTCGTACAGTAAAGAAAAACTATTCAGTTCACCAGTTTAATTATATTTCCCTAGATGGGGTATGCCTTCAGTTCCAGGTCCTTGTGTTCTATAGTCGTTATTGATTATCCAACGCCATTAACAGGATATCATAAATAAGTTTCAAGTAGATAGCAAAACAATTAAAAACAATTTGCAAGTCACAATCAAATCATGATTATAGTAATTTAAACGCGAATCTTGAATATTTAAATGCAGTTCAATTATACAAGCAGAAAAAATAATTTCATATTGTGCTTACAGCTGTTGGTTATTAATTGCAATACAGCTTATGTTGTTATCTTAGGTTCTAATTTTTTATGGTTCCGTAGCCAAAGGGTAAAACGGGACCCTATTACTAAGACTCCACTGTCTGTCTGTCCGTCTGTCACCAGACCGTGACATGTACCGTGATAGACATAACAACTAATACTAAAAAACAGAATGAAAAATGTGCTATCATACAACAGATTTTATTTTTTTAGCCGTTTTTATAGATCACGGTACGGAACCATTCGAGAGTCCAACTCGCACTTGGCCGGTTTTATTGTTTCATCGTACGTCGTAACTGTGTGCTGAGTATGTGGGTTACTATCCTTCACGTATAACTAATTGTGAAAATCGAAAAACAACTAAAGTTAATATGTGATAACTACTATAATTTGGTTTGGTTGACTGGCAGAAAATGCCTGTGGCATTAAACGTTTGTAATAAGATTTTTTTGGGCATATTACATATTTTGATAGGTTTTGCAGAATTTATTCGTCTTATAAGTTTAAAGTCGCAGGTAAGGTTGAGTAATAGGTTTTTCACGGGCTATTAAGAAATGTGTTACTCTGTTCCAACGATGCTTGATCATTTGAAATATGAGTCATTTTATAAGTCTAGATGAAGAGTACGAAAAACACGACCCGATTGGCGTAATGGGTGATGGTGACCCTCTTGTGCCAGACGGTGTGGGTTCGATCTCCACTACGGGAAAAATATTGCGTGATGAACATAGTGTTTATCAAGTGTCTGGACGTTTATATAATTGTAATATGTATTTATTTACAAACGAAAAGTATGTTTACAAGTAATCTAGTACCCATAGTACAAGGGTTGCTTAGTTTGAGACTAGAAAACGTTGTGTAAAAATGTGTCCCGAAATATTTATTTATTTATATACTTTGCCTAAAAATCAAGCAATTATTCGCGATCCGTCAACTGTATGACTAATTTATCACAACATAAAAATAAATAATTCAAACTATCTCAATATCTCGTAGGGAATATGTATGTATACAAGAAACAGCGAAGCGTAAAAAATTATCATGTTCCATAATTTCTTAAAATTCTTATACAAACAATTTTTTGTTTGGCTAAGCTTTTAAACTGCACGATTCACACATCATCCGGCATTGAATAAAGGCTGAGACAAAAACTGGGGTATTTATTCTGTTTATTACGAGTTTTGAGTAATATTTAAGAGGTTATTCTCACAAATCGCAATGTTTATGTCGTTTCCTGAAATATAAGACAAAAAGTTGTGTTTTTATATATACCTTTTTAGACTGCCATTGAAAGCAATACAGGGAGATTTTTTTAGTAATAATAATAATCGTAAGTGCCCACACAGGAGGTTCAGACTCGATAGTATAATCGTTTATTGAAATACAAAACAAAGTTTTTTTTCCAAAAAAAAAACTGCCATTCTATTCCCTAAAAAACAGAACGTGTGACAATGCGGTAGTCATTCATAAATACCTAAATTTTACCGTGCACGAACTTGTGTGCGTGTTAGTTATGAATGATCGCGCGTAAAATAAATGAGTTCCCCATAATTCACACACTTCTTGAGATAAGTTCAAATGAATGTTAACGAGTGATTTTAAATATTTATCATTTTTTATTAGAAAATTAATTTAATTTAAAAAAAATGGATTCACTTAGAAAAGCCATCCTGTATATCGCCATTGACAATTTACTATCAACTCGAATGTTTTTGGTCTTGAGGCGTGATAGCTCAGTGTCCGGGCGCTCGCATTTAATTATTTATACTCGTGCAACCTGAGTTCGAATCACGGTGTTGGCACCAATGGAATTTTAAATTCTGAATTATCACGTGCTACGTGCACGGTCAAGGAAAACATCTGAAGTAAAAACAAACCAAAGTAATCCATACTAATATTATAAATGCGAAAGTAACTCTATCTGTCTGTCTCACTTACACGCCGAAACTACTGAACCGATTTAAAGTTGCCCTGTACACACGACTTAAGTCCGACAACTTATAAAAAAATGTGAATCGATCCAGCCGTTTATGCTTAGTTCACTAACATACACATGTACAGAAGAATTATATATATAAAGATATAGCAATGGCGCCATCTCTCGGTCGAATTATCTTTGTAAAGTAATGTTTAAAATTATTTACTATAAAGGATATAACAATAGATGCGCAAAGTATTGCTAGAAATTCAAAAAAACAATGTAGATAAAAGACGTTCAGATTGTTGTCGGTGTAAAAAATTGAATGCACTTAATTGTAAAAAAAAAGGATGTTAGTACCACAAAATCTCCAAAGATGGCACTGATTTATATCTTTATGGTGCTTTTAATATTATTTTTGTTAAGAAAAATTTTTCCCGTGCAACTTCTTTAATTAAATCATGGTACCATTATTCATATTCAATGTTTTTCTCATACACGAAAGTGGTTTTGCAAACACTGTGTTGCTTTAGCGGATTTATGTATCGATTGATTGGTTCCTGCCAATGGATTCCCATATCCTCGGTTATCTAACACCCAGAGTGTTTAGCTAATTTGGATTAATTGTTCAATAACAATTTATCAATATAAAGTACAGTAATAACAGAAACATGTTTTTTTTTACATAAATTTAAGGT